ACAAAGTTGGGATTTATCCAGTTGTGCCTGGCTTGGGTCTGGCTGCTGTGCTCAGCTCCTTCCTGCTGCTGCCCTTGGGGGTGAACCTGTTGTACCCCTCTGGCAAGATGTTCTGCTCCTGGACTAGCTGGGTGGTTCTGTCCCCTACACTCTCTGCAGGGATTGCAGCTGAAGGGTTTTACCCCAGGCCTGTATGCCAGGCCTGAGCTGCGTCTGGAGGGGACAAGGTGGAGTAGGGGGGGAGAGGCAGCTCTCCCACACACTCACTGGGCCTGGGCTAGGACTGGATCTGGGGGTTCCTGGAACGTGACAGAAATTCCTACTTGGTGGGAGGGGCTGGGGGGTACTACGGAGTGGTGGGGAGATCCCAAGGGGGTGAAAGAGGGTCTCACTCATGCTGCACTTGGGCTGGGACTGGTAGATCCCGCCGGCGCAGGGTAGCTGGAAGCTCTCCCACCTTTGGTAAATCTTGAGACTGTGCAAAGTTACCCACTGTAGCTTTGAACTTATGGTCCTCATGCCTCAGCCTCCCAAATAACTAGGATTAAAAGTGTGACCTGGGGATGGGGAGATAGCTTGGTGGCAGTATAAGTGTCTGCCTGGTAAGCGCAAGGTCCCGAGTTTGATTCCCAGTACCATATGCTGTGCTGGCCCCAGAACCACATGTGGTGGCACACACCTGTAATCTCAGCACTGGAGAGGCTGAGACAGGAGGATCATTAGAGTCTGAACTGTATAGTGAGACTCTATATAAAATTTAAAAAATTTAAAAAGCCTGAGCAATTAGATCTGGCAATCTGAACATCTTTATGTATAATTATTGGCCAGTCTTATTTCCTGTCTGTGAGATCCTTATTTCCTGTGTTCTGGTCATTATCTTTTTGGGTTTTTACTTTTTTTTTTCTTCATTGATTGTGTCTGTCCCCAGTGTATAATTTATTTTTCCTTTCATAATGTCATGATAAACACATTTTTAAACTTTTAATGTGACCAAATGTAAAAATCTTTTTTTTTTTTTTAACCATTTGTGCTTTTTGTGTCTTGGTATCTGTCTTTTCCCTATGATTATAAAGAGTATATCAATGATCCACTATCCCAGAAAGCAGAGATGGAGAGCTGAGGACTGACTAGATCAGACTGACTGTCTGATTTGGAACCATTGATATATACCATTGATATACTCTTCTATATTCTCTAATAAGAGTTTCAAGGGCTTCATCTTTGTATTTAATTTTGGAATCTATTTCTGTATATGGCATAAGAGAGAGATCTCTTTTTTTTTCCTAGCCCAGGTTACTAATGAGCCTTCCTGTCCTCCCTGAACTACAGAGCTACTTCTTGACTTAGGCGAGAATGATGCATCTGGAAAACCTGATAAAATGTCTTCTGTTCCTGTCTTTACAAGTGAATTTTTACTTCCCAGCTTATCTCTGTTTTGCACGTCTCCAGAGCTTGGAGCACGAGAGCCTGTCAGTAGGGCTTTGGTATTTTACTCCCATTTGTTCCTTAGCTTTCCTGCTACCCACAAGAGCCCACGATGCTATAGCATGGGTTGGACTGGAGGCAGCAAAATATATCTGTGAGTTTGATATTTCTCCTGCTTCTGTCACCACAGATTCTCCAACTTTGTATTGGGAACCATGACCTGTTTATGAGGAGGAGGAAAGCTGATTCTTTGGAAGTTCAGCAGATGAAAACGCAGGCCAGGGAGGAGAAGGCTAGAAAGCAGGTAAGCAACACCCTGTTTTAACTGCTGATGTCCCTGCTTGGTCAGTCGTGGCCTAGGAAGGAAGGGAGGGGTGTGGGCCAGTAGAAGTCATTTCGCCATGATCATCTTGCTCTTATTTTATCCTGTTGGATCTTCCCTAGCTGATACACAGCTGGTGGGATGTTAGCTGCAAAAATGAGCAATAAATTCTAATAGCATATCTAAAAGAAACATCTCGTCATTGGTATAATTACATTAAGTTAAGTGTGATTAACATAGATTTGGGATGTGGTAACCAAGTGTACCCTCTTCTCTCCATACACTTAGCTATCTTCCTTTTTGCATACTTCCTTTACCCAGCCTTCTCCTTTTCTAATTAGACGGTGATGGAATAGATGGCGGCATTTCAGTGCTCGCTGCTGGAATACTAATTAGACTCAGGCCACATGTCTCACTGCGGGTCAGGCTGGGCACGCACCACCTACTGTGGGAGGTGCCAGGGGCACCTATCAGCAGGCTGGAAGAGCTGCATCATTGCTTTCTGCTTATAGACTTGCTTTACTCCCAAAACCCACACACCTAATATGGACCTCACTGCTGAGAATATCAATTGTGTTTTGAGGTGAACTGCTAGATAGAGTAACAGTAGCTGCGGTCGGCTGCCCTCAAGACTGGCAAGCTCAGAGGTATAATAATTAGTTTGAGTGCTGTTGTCTGATTTGGAACCCAGAGAGGCCGACCTCCAGCCTTGGGATTTAGAATGAAATGCCTAGTTTGATCTAGTCAGTCCTCAGCTCTCCATCTCTGCTTTCTGGGATAGTGGACCATTGATATGCTCTTTGGGGTGCTTTGGGATGATGGGATTGGTTTTATTGGAAACAAAAATGCTAGGGGAAAAAAAAATGCTAGGGAGCCAGTGTGGGGTCATAGTGGCAACTTCAAGAAGAGCTCCCTTTGACATCTTTCTCAGTAGAACAAAGCTTAGAACTGAGAGATCTGAAATTGTCAAGTAGCATGCAGGCCTCTGGGACTTGGCAAGAATAGCTGAACACCGCCTAGCCTGTATTCAACTGCCTAGAAGGCAAGTGGCACATCCATGGTATGTGAGCAGCTAGAGGTCAGGGCCTTCATGGCCCAGTAGCACAGTGACCTTGGAGTTACATCTGACACTTAAATTTGGGATTCAGTTTTCTCATCTATCAAGTGGCACTAATGCTACCTCTTTGTCTCAGGTAAAAGACCTATAATGCCTGAAGCCTGGGTCATTCTTGTTGTAAACGATAAACTGCTTTGCAGATAAAAAAACTCTTTGTTATTGGGGTGAGATCTCAGAAAGTATATGGGAACTGAAGAGGGCTGCCTGGGGCTTTTTTTTTCAAGAGGTGAATAATAGAAATGGAAATAATGTAATGGAAATTAGGAGACAAATTGTCCAAGCTTTTCATTGACCTGCAAGAGGAAAAGCAGAAATTTTTATAGTATTTTATTGCTTGTCTGTGCATTGTTCTTTAATGTTCTGGTGCTTTTCTTTTTTGTTTTGACTTCATATTTAGAAAAAGCAGCAGTCTTAGAAATCTACTAGAGTTTGGGAGAAGATTAAAACAAAAAAGAAGTAATTAAATGTGCTTTCATTACTCAAGGCAGAAAATATGCAGTGGTCACTTGTGGCCTCTGCCTTCTGAACTCTGTTAGTACCCTGTGATCACAGGGAATAGCGCTGTCCTAGGCGTGTTCCCCTTATTAAGCCTGGCAGGTGGCCCAATTAACACAGTTATCCATAAGGCAGGGGAGACAGCAGGGACATGGCGGCACGGCTCTGTACTGTTGCCTTAAGGATGGGGGCTGTGTTCCCTGTCTGACTCCGGAGTTGCCTCTGTGTGGGGCCCTGTGAGGCTGTGCTGTGGCTGCTGCACTCCCCCCCCCCCGCCCCGTGAAAAACTGTGTGGAAGCCATTGATGCATCACACACAGTTCCATCTTTTCCATTGGGTAGAAGCAGGAGTGGAGCTGTTGGGGATGAGATCAGAGATGTGTGAAGGGTCTGTGCAGATTAGAAATGATGAGGCAGCTCATCTGACCAGATGAGAGCTTCCTGTGTGCTGCCTCTCAGGGAGGAGGAACCTGTGTTGTGATCTGTCAGCCACAGGGCATAGCTGTGTGAGGTTTCCCAACCGCAAGGGGTATCACAAGGTCACTGTTGCTGTACACCTCATGTGGAAACGTTCCTTTCTGTCCAGGTGGATGCTGAACTTGGTGTTTTGTTCTTCATTCCTTTATTCACTGCTTGAATTTTTCCCAAGGAGCACAGCTTCCCATTCTGAGACTGGGTTAGAAGGACAAAGGGTCAGGGCAACAAGAATGACCCAGGCTGCCAAAAGTAAAAGGAAGAGAAAACCCCCTAAGAAGAGGCTCAGCAGACTGGTTGGGGGGGTCTTAGGAGGACCATGAGTCAGTGCCTGTTTCTGGTCACCCACAGATGGAACGGCAACGCCTCGCCCGAGAGAAGCAGATGCGGGAGGAGGCTGAGCGCTCGCGAGATGAATTGGAGAGGAGGCTGCTGCAGATGAAGGAAGAGGCAACAATGGCCAATGAAGCACTGGTGATTTCTGGGGAGTTAGGGTCCCAGAATGTTATGTGGGGACTTCTGTGAATGAGCAACATTTGCTTAGATATGCTTTATTTCAGTTGGAGGCTAAGGCAGGTAGATCGTGAGTTCAAGGCCAGCCTGGGCAACTTGGTGACACCCTGTCTCAAATAAAAAAGTAGTTGGGAATGTAGCTCAGTGGTAGAACCTTCCTGCTTCAATCCCCAGTACCATGCACAAAACCTGTCATTGCTGGAGTAAGGGATGTAACTCAGTGATAGAGTGCTTGCTTTCTACATGTGAGGCCCCAGGTTTGATTCCCAGCACCACAAAACATCTGTGCTGACAAAAGCAGATTTAGGTTGGATGCATGTACAGCAAAACTCCGCTTTGACTTTGTGGTTGCCTTTAAAACTGCTTCTCAGTGTCAATACTGCTAATATCTGGGGCTGATCATCTGGGGGCTTTGCTCTGCATTGAAGGATGGTTTGCAGTGTCCCTGGCCTCTGCCTGCTAGCTGCTGGTAGCATCACCTCACCGTCTGTGACATTCACAATGTTGCCAGCCATTCCCACAGGTCTCCAGGGGTGACAAACCCTCCTCTGGTTTTGAACCATTGATTTAAAGAGCAGGCAGAGTTTATGTTGTTTTCTGCCTCAGAAAACAAGCCTCAGTTAAAGTGAGTACCCAAAGAGTGTTCTTTCGTAGTCCCCATGGATAGAGCCTCAAGGATTCTTGTGAATAGTTGGGGGATGTGACTCGTTATCTGTTGCCAGAGGTTCCCTGAAACGATATTCAGTGACAAGGCCAAGGAGTCTGAGGCCACTGCTTGCTTACCTGCTTGTCTGAGTCCAGATGTGGGTGGGAGATGGGCACTGTTAAGAGCATGCTTCCCTCCAGATGCGGTCAGAGGAGACGGCCGACCTGTTGGCAGAAAAGGCCCAGATCACCGAGGAGGAGGCCAAGCTCCTGGCGCAGAAGGCTGCAGAGGCTGAGCAGGAGATGCAGCGCATTAAGGCCACAGCCATTCGGACAGAGGAGGAAAAGCGCCTGATGGAGCAGAAGGTATTGGAAGCTGAGGTGTTGGCACTGAAGATGGCTGAGGAGTCGGAGAGAAGGTGAGGGGGTGCTTTGGACATGGGAAGCCTACCCTGTTCTGAAGCACAGCTGAACACAGGCGTCCTCAAACTGCTCCCCATCTTCTGGGTGGGAAGGCTCCTTCCCTTCCAGGCCCTTGTGACCGGAACTGTTGAAAGAAGAGTTCTCTGGCTTCTGTGCTAAGACCACATCTCTCCCATAGCCAGATTCACAGAAAAGCTACTAAGTGTGTCCACAGATTTCTTTTAGCTAAGGAGATACAAAGAGGTCTTTTGCATTTTAAAAAAATGCACTTCTTTTCCTTTTTTATTTAGGAGAGATGTGAGAAAACAGCAATTATTTATGTATAAGGAAAATTAGGAGCCTGTAGCCTTCTTTTTTTTTTTTAATTAATTTATTTATTTAGTGTGTGTGTGTGTGTGTGGCCAGCTCAGCCCACCAGGGGGCGGGGCTGGCTGGCATGTGGTGCTGGGGATCGAACCACAGTCGCTGTGCTTTTGCTTAGCTTGTTGTAAGTAGGTGCTTTAGACCACTGAGCCATCTCACCAGCCCCAAATACTTTATTTTATTTTTTTTTTTTTGCGGAACCAGGGTTTGAACTCAGGCCCTTGCGCTTGCCAGGGAAACACTTATTCTACTGAGCCATCTCCCCAGCCCGCCTGTAGCCTTCTTGGCAGATGAGGAAAGAAAGCTGCAGTCCTCTTTCTGACTAGGATACCCTAGCTCATGACCAGGTTGAAGTACGGAAGTGTTGTCTGTACTTTTCAGAGACTATTCTAGGCTCTGGGTTGTTCTAGTCCTGCAGCCTTCAGATAAACACTGGGACATTCCCCACAGCATCTGGTTCTATTGATTTAGAACATTTGAATTGGGCTTCTAGCAACTAAGGTGATTCACTGTAGTTTCCTCACCATTCTTTGCTTGTCATTCTGAGAATATAGTTTTCTTGATGCCTGTCCTGCCCAGCCCCTTTCTCTGTGTTGGACACATCCTCTGCATGGGATGGATGTTGGGCTAGGTGTCCCCTAGCAAGGGTCTCATTTGTGTTCAATGATCAGGTTTGTCTTTCTACCCAAGAACAGTACCTTTTATGTTCTGGCCTTTGCAGTCCAACGTAAGAATGTTGACCACCAGCACTTTGCTTTGCCCAGCTTACTTTTATCCAGAAACAAATGAGAGCATTATCTCTCTCCCAGCACCGTCAGCTTTTGCAGAGACTTTGTTGTTTTTGAAACAGCATCTTGACAAATAGCTCAGTAGATTAAAGTGCCTGCAAGTAGGCGCAGGGGCCTAGGGTTCGATTTCTGGGCCTGCTGTGCTGACCCCATCCTCGGGGTACTCTGAGATGGTGATTGAGACTGGGCGTGGTGGAGTGCACCTGCAATCCCAGCTCTTGGGAGGCTGTAAACAGGCGGATCCTTATGAGTCCAATCTAGTAGTGAGACCCTGAATACCCTGTAGACCCTTCCCTAAAATACACATACACACGCAAAAAAAAAAAAAAAAAGAAAGAAAGAAAAGAAAAGAAAAAAGAAAAGCAGAGAAAAAGAAATAGCATCTTGGCATGTAACTCAGGCTGGTCCCAAATTTTGAGAGTCAAATGATCCTCCTGCCTTAGCCTTCTGAGGAGATGGGACTATAGGTGTGTAGCACTGTGCACTAAAGCTTGCACAGTTTCTTGTTTGGCCCTGTTCCACCAATGTCCCTTGTTTTCCAGTCTAGATTTACCAGTTGAAATGAAATAATACCTAGGAATATTACTCTTGCTTTGGGCAGTTCTGGCTTCCTATAAATGGCCCTGCCCCTACTGTCCTTGTCTGACTTGTCAGAAGACATCCTTGAGGTAAACCCAGCTCCCTCCTCTCTTGGGATGGGGTGGGAATGGGAATTGACTCTCTTTACCCATCTTTTGTGAAACTGACAGCTCCTTTTTTTACAGGGCCAAGGAGGCAGATCAGCTGAAGCAGGACCTGCAGGAAGCCCGTGAGGCAGAGCGAAGAGCCAAGCAGAAGCTCCTGGAAATTGCCACCAAGCCCACATACCCGGTGAGCCTGGGCAGGGGCTGCCAGCCTACTGTTACTTTAGACCTGGTAATTTCCTGTTGCTCCCAGTCCTTGCAACAAGGCCTTTTCTAGCTCCCAAATATTTTTCTTATACTAAGTAGTATGGTCTTAAATTATCCTCAAAAGAATTCGCTCTCTAGTTCCCTAATACTTAGGTGAATATAATCTACTATCAGTAGAAGTAGTATCAGATACTTCTACTGTCTACCATAATTATAGTTCTGGGAAGGGATTGACTTGTCTACCTCAAGGTGAATTATTTCTGTAGAAGAACTAGATTTCAACCTCAGTTTTGGGACAGGTAGACAGAATTATGATAAATGGGATTTCAAAATAAACAGGAACTGCCTCCTTTCCATTCCACTCTGCAAATGTTTGGTCCACTTAATACCACACAGTTGAAAGTTTATATTCAGGCAGGTGTGCACAGGTGCCTAGAACACAGCCCAGCCTGGGGGTTAGGAAAAGCCGAGTTGAAGAGGAAGCAGGGACTGGTGAAGCAGGAAAGAGATGACAGGGTGTTCTAGGCGAGGGCACAGGTGCACCCTGCAGCACAGACATGTGGCCATTCATACACGCGGCCCAGACAGACACTGTACATTCACATACACGGCCCAGGAACACACTCACTTCTGCACACATGGCATATTCACACGGAACACAGGAGGCATAAGCTACCTAGGATGTGGGTTGGAGAAATACCAACTTTGCTATGCCGTGTATCATGGTCATCAGTTACTGGGTAACAGCACCCCAAGTCAAGTGGCTCCCGACAACCATTTATTATTACCTCTCAGCATGGTGGCTTGGTTGGGCTGATGTCCTTGCTTGGGGTCTCTCAGGTAGTCGCAGACAGATGAGAACTGGGAATGGAGTCTAGATTGTATGTTTGAGACATGTGTGCATGTTTAAAACTTATACAGGGGGCCATCAAGATAGCTCAGCAGACTATGCACCTGCTTAGGCAAGTGCAGGGACCGGGGTTTGATCCCTAGTACCTCATGCTGTGCCGGCCCCACCCCCAGGCATACTGAGCCAGCCACCAAGTCCACGCGTGGTGGTGCATGCCTATAATCCGAGCGCTGGGGAGGCTAAAAACAGAAGGATCACTACTGTGAGCTGCATTGTGAAATCCTTTACCAAATACATAAAATAAATAAATAGATAAATAAATGAAACTTACACTGAAGCAAACTTTATACACTGCTCTAACTTTGTTCTTCTTGGCAACAAATCCTGAAGGAGATCATCCATACCATTTTAATCACATCTGGTCCTGCTTTCTTTTTTCTACAGTTTTGAACACAACCACACTGAACATCCCTGAATGCAAATCCTTGCATATACATTGTGCTAATTGGTAGAGGAAATTGTCATAAATGGAGCCGTAGGGTCAGATGCTCTATTTTGGTTCCCTTAAAAGACGTTGTTATACCAATCTGCTCTCAATCAGTGGTGCAGCAGCCAATACTCATCCTTTTTGGAATTTTTTATGAAGTGTAACATAATACGGAAAAGTGCCCAGATTATAACTGTGTAGCTTGCTGAATTTTCACGGACAACACATACCCATGTACTCAGCCCTTGATCAGAAAAAAAAATTCATAGGACTCCAGAATCCCCTACTCAGCACCACTCTGACAGCCTCCAGACATCCTGCTTTCATTGGCTCATATGAAAGTTCTGAGGCTCCCACCCCTTCCGAGACCCCGCCTTAAAACTCAGTAAGGGATCCGAGGATCAGAAAGTTTGGATACAGCAGAAAGAAGATAGAGCCAGAAGGGCCTTTACTGTGTAGAGTTATGGAAAAGATCCAGTACAGAGCTATGAACAGAGTTTTAGGGGCTGTGAAGAAAGAGTGGCCTTCCACCTACAAGGGACCTGGAAAGGCTGCAGTGAGAGCAAAGGGTTTGAGAAGGGTCTTGCAAGAAGGGTGGAGCTTAAGAGATGGGAAAGCACCACAACTCAAGGAATACTAAATAGCACTTATGCCTTAGTAGGGCAAGTAATAGAAGAAACTGGGGAGGCAGATTAATGCCATACTTTATTTTTATTTATTTGTTTGTTTATTTATTTATTTATTTATTTTGCGGAACCAGGAATTGAACTCAGGCCCTTGCACTTGCCAGGCAAGCGCTTATTCCACTGAGCCATTTCCCCAGCCCCAATGCCATACTTTAGATGACACCTTTTTCTGGGATGAGAAAGTCCCAGAAAAAATCTAGTGACTTCATGCTGTGCTTCATTCTCGGTACTTCATGCTGGACCCTGTCTTCTGAATTCTGGCCCCTTGGCGTGGAACCTGATGGAACCTTGCTGGTCCAGAACCAGTCCCCTACCCAGCTACCCATACAGAGGCTGCGGACGGCCAGCACTCTGGCTGTAGCTTCTTACCTGGCACCCTTTTCCTTCTGGCATGTTTTCTGATTGTAGCCGAATCAGCATCTCTTCTGGAGTGTCCTCTCAGCCCTCTTGGCCTCTTTGCTCCTTGGCTCTAGTGTTTGCCTGTTTTAAATGAGTACCTCTGTTTCCTGGGCAAGACCTTCAAATGCCTAGAACCAGAGACCCTGTCTTGTCTCCCCATTCCTAGCTCCTACTGCAGGAAATAGGAATTTGCTAAATGAAAAAGTGAGTGGGGTTGATTTGACTATTAGAAAAGTTAAATTTATAAGAAAACAAATAAATTGACTGGATTTTGGTTTAATCACATCTACTACAGACTGGGAATCTGTATTTTAGGGTTTTTAAGCTTTTGTCTCATTTAATTTCTACTAACTAATAAATATTACACTGACATCAAAGGTAAGTTTTAGTGTTCCCTTTTTGGGGGCTGTTTATCTGGGCAGCATTGAATGTGGAGGGCATGTTATAAAACTCAAATCTCCTAATTCTGAGCTTTCTCACTGATAGCCTGTGAACCCAATCCCAGCACCAATGCCTCCCGACATACCAAGCTTCAACCTCACTGGGGACAGCCTGTCTTTTGACTTCAAGGATACAGACATGAAGCGACTTTCCATGGAAATAGAGAAAGAAAAGTATGTTGTCCTCTCTGGCCTGCTTGGGGCAGCTGGGAACATGAGTGAATGACTCTGAGCCTGGGGACACAGAGGGTCATGACAGAGGCCTGTTGCTAACTCCTGCAGAGGTTCGCTCAGTTATCTCCCACTGAAGGACAAGTTTCCTATTTTGAAATTAAAGATAGTGCCTAGCAAGCACAATGTCCTAAGTTCAATTCCTGGTACCAAAAATAAAAAAAAAAAAAAATTAAAGAGGACCAAGGATGTAGCTCAGTTGCATAGTGCTGAGTTTGATTACTGAGTTTGATTTTCAGTACCAAAAAAAAAAAAAAACCTAAAGGTAAGAGCTTAGCAGTCAGTATGCTAGGATGAAAAGTGACATTTAATTGGTGGCCTGGAGTTTATAGTGACCCAAAACTCTGAAGAATGGAACTAGGTTGTCAGGGGACTTCCAGGCAGTCACACTGTTGGTGCCAGCTACTAAGCCACAGTTTCCTAGTGATGTTCCGTAAAAGCTAGGGTCAGTAGTACTTCCTGTGTCTAGAACAAAGGTGAGACAGAAAAAAACAGGGGCTTGAGGATGAAGAAAGCTAGTGGCCAGGTGAGGTGTACACTGTGTCAGACAGCCCTCGGCAGAGCCCCTGCTTGGCCTGGGTTGCCATTAAGGTCAGGAGAAGTGTAACCAGAGATGATGAGAGTCCTGCTACAGGGGAAGGCTAATCAAGGGCCCCCATCCCCAGAACCAGAGGTAAACAGATTAATGGTGCCAAACGGTTGGCAGAAAATAATCACACCAGCTACCACAGACTGTTTTTCTATGTTAGAGTGTTTTAGTTTTTGTCTCATGTAATTCCTATTAACAAATATTACATCAAAGGTAAGTTTTAGTTTTCCTTTTTTTCGCCCACGTACTGTACTAGAGCTTGAACCAAGGGGCTTTATACTGAGCTACATCAGTCTCTTTTATTTTTTTCAATATTGAGACAGGGTCTCCCTAAGGCACTAAGTTGCCCAGGTTGGGCTCAAATTTGGGATCCTTCTACCTCAGTCTTCTAGTCTTTGAATCATAAGCAAGTCCTGCCATGCCTAGCTTTAGTATTTCTGTTTTATAAATGAGAACACAGACTTAGTTTAATGAGCTCACCCAACATCACACCACTGACAAAGAGCAGACCAGAGGTTAAAACCTCTCCCTGGGTGGTTTCCTCAGGATAACCTTCTAAGAAAGTGCCTCCATGGAGTCCAGCCTTGGCCACTGTAAGACAGGCCGTATTTTTCTTCAGGCTCCCATACTGAGGTATACATAAGAAGTGGTAGCCTAAGCTGCTGGTGGTAGTATCTGCTAAGTTCCTTCATCTAGATATGTCTGTGGTTGTGATCACTGTGAGGCTACAATCAGTTCTGTGCCCTGCTTTGTTGTAGTTTACATTTTCATATTGTTTTAGTGTGTTCAGAGTACTATAACAAAATACGAGTGGCTAAGTGGCTTATAAGCAACAGATACTTATTTCTCATGGTTTTGGATTTTAGAAATCCAAGGTCAAAGCACTGTCAAACTCAGTCTGGTGAAAGCCCTCATCCTGGTTCATAGACAGTACAGTGCCTTCTTGCATTATTATCACGTGGTTGAGGGGACTTTCCAGGATCTGTTTCCTAAGGACAAAGATCTCATCGTGAGATCCTTGAGTCTTTATGGTCTAATCATCTTCATCTCTGGACGCCCTCACATTGGTGATATGACTCCGGAGAGAGATAAACATTCAGCTCATAGCACTTACTTATTTCTCTTGCTCATGTTGTCAGAACCTATAGCCTGGCCATGTTAATGCCTTCAAAAGCTTCCTTTATATTTGTGTTGAATTATTTTCTGGCCATGCCCCATTTAGTCAGACACTTTACAAGTAGATTCCAGATTGTCACCATGATAGTTGTTGCTCAGTGTGTGTACCTACAGGAACACACTCCACTTCCTCGTGAGTGAGCTTCTGTCATCTGTAAGAGTTGAGGTTTGAGTACAAGTGGGAGTATGATATGACCTGTCAGAAGAGATCATTACTGCTCCAAGGACAGTCAAGACAAGGACAGTATTTTGGGTGCCAGAAGGCTTATTCCATGTGCCATTTTGTACAGAACTAAAAGTTACCTGTGACAAGTGGTATTTGCTGAGTACTCTGGGATTTTACAGAGGGATTTCCTATACTTTAGTCCTCACCACAGTCCTGGAATCATTATCCTAATTTTACCAGTGAGAAAAGAGACTCCTAAGCTCCCACAGGCTATGAGTGGCCCAGGCACTGGCTCCAACACTGAGCACACGTGGGTCACAGAGCACCTCGACCATGCCTCAGTGCTTGCCTGCCCCTTGATGCAATGTCCTCTTGCATAGAGTGGAATACATGGAGAAGAGCAAGCATCTGCAGGAGCAGCTCAACGAGCTGAAGACTGAAATTGAGGCCTTGAAACTGAAAGAGCGGGAGACAGCTTTGGACATTCTGCACAACGAGAACTCGGACAGGGGTGGCACCAGCAGCAAGCACAATACGATTAAAAAGGTACTCTGAGTGTCTTGGCTTTTGCTGATCAGGACATTCATTAATGAAATGTGAGGTTGGCATCTGGTTTCCTCAGAAGCTGAATCATTAGACTGTTGTCATTTTTTACATGTACTTAGCTGGGGAAATTTTTTACCTCCTGCCAGAAAGGAAATTTAATCTGCCAGTGACCATGAGCCCATTGGCTTGATGGAGGTGGAGCTTGTATTAAAAGCTCTGATGAGATGAACCCCTGCTAGAGCACAGTTTTTGATCCATCATTGAGCATTAAAGCAGTTCTACATTTAAGCCAAAGGGAGTTATGCCTAAGGGAGCTGCCTTGCATAATGTGAAAGCATAATGAAGACGAGGCTGCCCATAATGGAGTCCCCTCCAGTCTTCTTGTGGTTGTTTTACTTTTGTTTGTTTCTTCTTTCTTTCTTTTTCTTTCTTTCTTTTTTTTCCCTAGAAATGGGGATTGAACCTAAGATCTCACACCTGCTAGGCTACATCCCCAGTCTTTTTTTTTTTTTAATTAATTAATGAATTGTGACAAGGTCTCACTATCTAGCCGCACTGGCTCTTAGTTTCCATGTAGCCCAGGTTGACCTTGAGTTCATGATCCTCTTGCCTCAGTTTCCTGAGTGTTAGGATTATAGGTGTGTGCCACCATGCCTAGTTCCTATTTTTTAAATTTTATTTTAAGAAAGTTATCTAGGCTGGTCTGAACTTGGAAGCCTCTTGCTTCAGTAGCCCCACCACCATCACCACCAGTGGCTGGATTCTAAGTGTGTGCCATTACACCCAGCTTCTTTTTGTGTTAAGTGTCATGGACTGTACAATCTTGTTCTTGATTGAGAAGCCATATTTTAAATTTCAAGCTTTTTTCATACTTCAAAGAAAATATCTAGGGGAGCCTTAATGTTTTTAAAAGTTGGGTCTTCACTTATGAGGCTCATGGTATCCTACCTTTCCCTCCTGATATTTAAAGCTGTTGGCATTTCAGAGACTGCAGTTAGAGTTAAATTCCACATCCACTATTAGCCCAAAAGTATAAGTATCTTATTTGGGGAAAGTAGAAAGGTCCTTTCTGTCCAACCAAGGCTATGCTTTCAGCTTATAGCCAGGGATCAGATTATGCCTGTGAAAGAGATGTTATTTAGAGACTGGAGAGATAGTTCAGCAGCATAAGCGTCTGCCTGGCAAACACAAGGTCCTGAGTTTGATCCCTGGTATCACAAAGAGATGTTACTTAGATTAAATTTAGATAACTATTTATATGGTTCAGTTTTTACCCTTTACCTTAGTTTTTAAATGGTCTCCTAGTTTAAGGACTATCTCTTTTCAGTGGCTAAACTGTGACCAGAAACCCCAAGAAATCTGTGCCTCATTGCCCATTACTGATGGGTACAGTAGGGCCCCCCCACTTTTTTCTCTTGTCTCAAGTTACAATTGGCAGTGGAGGGAGAATTCCTTTAATAGTGTAACTTAGAAGGAAAAGCATTCCCATATTCTGTGTTCTTCTTAACCTCTGGCTTCTGGCATTTCCTGGATTTCTCTTCCATAACAAAGTTACTAGTTAGCAAAAGGGGAGTTAAAGGGAGGCCTCTATCATTAAACAGAGGGATGACTGGGCCAGTCAGCTGCTCAGCTCTTGAGGAAGATGTTTCAAGCCCCCTATCCCTGCCCTTTAATACCTGGGCAGCAGGAGCAGCCTTCTCTTTGCCACTGCTACTCTGGTGGTGAGTTGGGCCCTGAGCCACAGGAGCCTCTTGCTGAAAACTGGAGACATAATTTCAAGTCATAAAAGCAAACAAGTCACTTATAATTTCAGACCTATCTGAGCATTTTGCAAATGGCACATGTGACATTGTTGATATCACAGGGTGTGTTTTTGTTTTTCTTCATTTTATTTTGCTGGTTTAGCCTCAAGCCCAAGGCAGAAGACCTATCTGCATTTGAGTCCTCAAAGTAGGTTATTCCCAGGTACTCTGTCTGTGGTGATGGTCCTGCCCTCTGTGATACTAACCCGTGCATGAGCTTGCCTGTCTCTGTCTCCGGGCACGCTGCAGCATGCTTTGACCAAGCGCAGGCGTCCATCCTGCGGGGCCAGGCCAGCCTTCAAGGCCCAGAAGGCTGCCTCATGCCAAAAAGCATGTCACAGCCTGCAGGACTGGTTGTCCTTCCCATCTTGTGTTATTGTTGGGCTGGGAAAGGTCATGGCTTATTGTCCAGTCAGGTGTGTCTAAAGGTCCTCTGTTTTGGTGGTGTACTCCTTAGATAAATAACCTTAGCATGGAAATGGGGCCAATTTGGGTGCTTCTAAGACTGGTGTCTCTCACTCAAGATCCACACCTGGTGAGCTCTGCAGATCTGTGGTCACACCTGTCAGCTTCTGAGCACAGAAGGGAGGAGCTGCCAGGCATATTCATTTTCCCTGGGAGCTTTCCCATTCTGTGCAACACTCCTTTTGTTTTCTACAGCAAACACAGAGCACAGGCTCTCGTTGGAGAGAGCCAAGGTTTATCATCTATTCCATGGCTCCTTAAAGGCTTTCTGGGCTTTGGCTCAGTGTGGAGTGGTTGTGAGCAGGGTGATTCCACTCTGAAACAGTCCTGTCCTGGGCACCAGGGAGATGAATATTCAGTGATTGTTGAGTGATTAATTGAACCGTGGCTGCATATTGTTCCAACATGCCTGGACCCTGGAGAGAATTTATTCTTCCCATTAATAAAACAACATTCCACCTCTGCTTCTTGCCTAATCCCTAGTCATACCTCTGCCAATGAGCCGAGCACCATCTGACAGGGGTGTGGAATGCATTCTTCCAAGTCCTCGCTGAAGTCAAGGAGAGTAAGCTCATTGGAAGCTTTCTACCAAAAATGAGATATGACATAAGATAGATTGTATCTATTATTTTTATTCATTTTGGGTTTTTTTCAGACAGGGTCTCCCTTTATAGTGCAGGCTGCCCTTGAACTCATTATGATGCTTAGCCTGACCTCAAACTTGTGATCCTCCTGCCTCATCCTTTCAAGTGCTGGGATTATAGGCATATGCTAGTATACCTGATTAGAATAGGCTGCATTTATGATCATTAGCCCAGCATGAAAAGTTAGCTATTAAAGTTCCAGATAAATCTTTAATAAGATAGGTCAGAGCTGTTAGTGATTCTAAGAATCCATGGCGTGAACCCCAAATGGGGTGTGCTTTAAGCCCTGTGGTTAATGGACTCCTGTTTCTTCATTTCTCGTGCCACCTTCATATTGATACCCTAACACTGAGCACTTGGAACTCTGAGCAAGGCAGTTAGGACCTTGAGAATGGTCAGGCCAGTAGGTCTTCCCCAAAGTGGTGGTGCCATGTCCATGGGTCCACCGTGGTTTTCTGGACTTTGTGGTTAATACCATGGCGAGCTGAAAACCTGTTTTGTTTCAGCCTATGCTATTATTTGTTCCCTGCATAGGTCTCTACATTAAAACCTGATTGTGTTTCCTCTTTCTTTGTCTTTATAGTGATTCAGGATGTTTAACACCTTCAAGGTCCTAATTTTGAATGTCAGTTCTCATTGAATTGTTACTACAGAGAAATGAAGTTTCACTTTTCAGTCACGTTGGTGCAGCTCCTGGGATATACAGCAATGGGCCCTGTAAGAACATTTGGTCCATGGTAAACTGAGTGTACAGTGGTGGGCCTAGAAAATTGCATTACCCAATAAGAGCACTGCCTTATTGTGTAAGCACACTCTGTGATATTTATTGAACAACAAACCTACCTTACGACACTTTTTTTTTTTTTTTTTTGAGACAAGGTCTCACTATATAATGGTGGCTGGCCTTGAACTTATAGTGATCCTCCTACCTTAGCCTTGAGAGTGCTGGGATTACAGGCATGTACCACCACACCTGGTTTCAGTGACACATTTCTTGTACTGTGTCCCTATTATTAAGCAACATATGACTGTTAATGGAGGCATTCATTCATTCATTCACTGTCTTTTCTTTCTTTTGAGGGTGGTGGGTGGTCTGAAATAGGTCTTGCTATCTGGTTCCGGCTAGCTTTGAACTCGTTATATATCACAATCTAGCCTCAAACTTGTGACAATCATCCTGCCTCAGCCTCTCAAGTTCCAGGATTACAGGTGTGTGCCAGTATGCCTGGCTTCACTTCAGTGAACTTGTTTTCAAAGCAAGTTGCTAGACTATATTTAATGAGGAATTCTCATGCTGGGGAGATGGCTCAGTAGAATAAGCACTTCCCTGGCAAGCGCAAGGGACTGAGTTCAATCCCTGGTTCCTCAAAAAAAAAAAAGCTCATTCATCAAAGGTTACTAAAATCATGAAATTGGGTTTTAATGCAACAGGAGTTCTCCCAGTATCAGCAGATTAAACAATGCTAGCATTTGCTGTACATGAAGTTTGACAGATGTTTCATTTTCTAAATTTTAGCAGTGCCTGTGGCCAGGACTGACGCTGAGCCACCTGCTTGTGTAGGGGTGGTTCTGAAGTCCTGCCGGCTGTAGTCTGGGCCGATGTGAACCTAGCCAAGGAGAAGTGCTGTTTCAACTTCAGAAGCGTGGATGTTTATTAGCTACGTGTTGAGGGCACAGCTCCATCTATAATGTTTGGGGCTGAGAGCTACGAGAGCTGATGGTAACCTGGAGACTTTCCAGTGTCCTGCTCATTAATCAGAGTGCAAACTGCCTGCATTGGTTTTTGTTTTGTTATAATGGTTTTTGTTCGTAGATTCTTCAAGAATGGATCTCCAACTACTCCTATGTAGTCTACAAGAATTCCTCCTTGCTTTCGGTACTCTCTGCTTCACCTAGAGGACTAGGGTCTGATGTGGTCTGAGCAATTCTCATGGATACTACAGAAAGCCAAAGTTAATTCAAGGAAAAGAAGTTCATTCAAAGGGCATCCCTTGGGTGACCACAAACCCTTAGGAATGGCAAGAGGCGGAACTCTCTGGTTGTCTGAGGTGCTGCATCCTGTCTCTAAAGTTGTTATTCTCTTAAGAGTTAGTAAAAAAGAGTTAGTGTCCTCACCTATGAAAAACGAATATAAACTAGTACCATGCACCTGTAGTCCCAGCTACTTGGGAGGTTGAAGCAGGAAGCTTGCAAGTTAAGGCCAACCTGGACAACTTTTGAAGATCTTTCCTTTAAAGACAAAACAGGACTGGCCAGACAGTTCAGAGGACTAAGTGCCTGTTTAGTCGAGCGCAGGGACCCACCCTGGCACCACATCCTGCACCAGCCCCACCCCTAGGCACACTGAGCTAGCCCTTGAGACTAGGCATGGTAGCGCACACTTGTAATCCCAGCACGGGGGAGGCTAAAAACAGGAGCATCACTATAAGTCCAAACTGTGTAGTGAGGCCCTATACCAAATACATAAAAATAAAAATAAAACAGAAGGAAAAAGAGAAGAGAAAGAGGGGAGAGCGAGAGCTGTGTGTGGCTCAGTGGTAGAGCACTTGGCTAACGTGTGAAACCCTGCATTCAATCCACAACACCATGCAAAAAAATGTGGGGGTGAATAAAAACAGCCCCCCCTCCAGGTTAAATGAGGGAATGCCTGTGAAATACTAGCCCCGTAGGGGTTTAACAATATAAAAAGAAACATCTGGGGCCTGGAAGATGGCTCGCTAGAATAAGCGCTTCCCTGACAAGTGCTAGGGCCTGAGTTCAATGCCCATTTCCACCAAAAGAGAAAAAAAAAAAAGAAATATCTGCCTGCTAGCCCATGGTAAGGGAGGAAAGTAGGCATCAGGAAGGCATGATGGGGTGCACTACCACATGTGTGTGCAGAGCTGGTAGTGAACATGTTCAATTAGTTGTATTAATTGCCATGTGATGGTGATAGAAGCTTCACTGGTTCCTTGGGTTTGCAAGAGTATATTTTCTTCTCTTGCTGATTTATCTCCCCACATTTCCATTTTTCCCAACTGATGATCAGTGTAACTCGTTTGACGTTTGCATCTGAATCAGCAGCACTAGTGATCAAAAGCCACCCTGGGGAACCTAGATTTGTTTCATTCTCAGAGGGAAGGACACATGTTCCTGGCATGGGAGCCTCTGAGGGAGGGGAGCAAGTCCAGCCATCAGAAGGGGTGGGCGTCACAGAGGTCTGAGTTTGAGCATTTTGCCATCAGAGCCACCATGCTGATGAGCCACGAAAGTGGCAGCCCGGTGTGGTTTAGCTATGTTACGACACCCTGAAGGTGCAAGTGTGGTCTAGGAGTATGTCCGTTGTCCACTCCCAGGTTTTGCTGCTATCCCCTTTTAAGACACTGATTTTAGTCTTCGGATCCTGAGCTGGTCTGAGTGCCAGCAAACAAGCCATCAATTTTGTGCCTGTGGTCTCTGAGGGAGCACAGGATTTCAAAAGAAATCGACAGATGAGAAATCATGGGGGTTGTGGAACCGAGAAAGCTTGTTTCATTAGTAGATGGTTTGGACTGTGTCCAGCCGTGGTTCCCACTGGTGAGGGAATGGGAATAGCAGAGCTTTCACATTCATGGAATGCCCTACCACCTCTCCTAGGTCGGGAAGACATAAAAATCCAATGTCATCTCCAATTTCTGCCGAGTCCCCTTGGAGATGCAGGGCTGGCAAAGTGAAGCAGAACACTTTAGACACCCAGCAAAGTGATAAATCTCAGGAAGAGATTGAATATGCGTGAAAGGCATCTCCCACAATTAAAACAAGCGCCTGAAGCCTCCCTGGTGACCTCTGGTGTATTGTCAACCTCAAAGGCAGCTGCTAAAACAGTTTGTATTGAATGTGGGCTTCATATGTCCAGCCCACCTTAAAACCCAGTGGGCTAAGAGGGTCTGCTTGCTTTGGAAACCAGGCCTCACCTGATAGAACATCTTTAGCCGTGACATAAAAGGCAGGCACACGCTCCTCAGCTCTGGAGCCCACCATTTGAGAGAGCAGAGAAGAAAGAAGCAGGGGAAGTGGAATGAGAGCAGCAGGGCCA